CTGTGTGTGTGTGTGTGTGTGTGTGTGTGTGTGTGTGTGTGAGTGTGTGTGTGTTGGCCAGTGCGCTTGAGGGTATGTATCAAATTCATCATCTTGCAGCAGCATATCTGTGTTGAAAGGAATAATAATACTGATGAACGATATTATATCTTATCTTATCTTATCTTACCATGTTCAACGTTGGTAGTTGTTGACCGTTCTTATGACCAGAAACGTGTGAGACCTGAAGGCAGGGCAAAGTTGTTTGCAGCGGCTCACATGTTGCTTGTATTGAGTCACAAGGAAGGGCAAACCCCCTTGCCCGAGACGCTAATTCTGAGCAAATTAGATGTTCATCGAATAGAAATTGTGTATCGTTCTCTGTTTATCCGTGATCTGACAGCATGAGAACGTTTCTCTTTTTCTTTTTTTTTTTTTTTCTTTGTTGTGGTTTTGTTGATTTTTTCCCCCCTTATATTCCTTTAGGGTCTAAATTGCTGGAATCGATGTAGATCCAGGCACTGAATGAAAAGGTGAGATCTTCCTTCTTCAAGTCAAAGCCTTGTCCTCCGTAGTTATTTTACTTTTCTGTGAAGTCTTTCTTGGGTCAATAATTCTGTACATTTCTGGAGACAGAAGGAACATTTTAAGAAGAATTAAAAGTAAATTACTTCACAGACACATTAATAGACACACTTCTGGACTAGAAAACAAATATTTTTACAATCTGAATATGTTGACATTGTGAAAAATCATGTTTGTACCCAGTACTGGGCTAAAAAAAATGACAGTACTGTTTGACGATGATTATTAAGTGTTGATACAGTGCAAAATCATAGTGACATTGTTTTGAATATTATACCTCAAGAAATCAGATTAGCTATCTTTCTTTTTATTACTTGTGGAATCTAACTCTGACTTTTTGCAAAGACTCTGACCTGTACATCTCTTGGGACGGTAACAAAAAGGTGAAGGGATCAATGACGAAAGTTCCGTAAAAGAGAACCAAGCTTTATCATGTTTGTTTGTTTGTCTGTTTGCTTGTTGGTTTTTTTTGGAAGCTTAATAGTACTAACGCATGAAGTAATATTGTTTTTGTGATGTATTATTTTATGTACAGTCATTGACCACAGGGTGAAGTGTAATGATTTTTAACTATAAACTCAAGTACGATTTAACATTCGTTTCATCTATATCAGTGTTTGCCAGCCTGGGCGATATCCCCGTCTAATGGACGATTAATGTGGTCATTTAGTTGGTCGGTAGGGATCATCCTGGTTGTATAGGTGTTGCAATTTAATATCATGCTTGGAAACATATATATATATATATATATATATTGTAAGAAAATTGTATCTTCTTAAAAGTGGCAAATGTGGGTGCCAGCAATAAAAAGGTTAACAAACATTGACCAATGTTATTACAATAATATTATGTGTGCCACAACAATATTGATTCTATTTTTCGTATGTCTCACAACATAGTAAACAGTTATTATGAGTTGTGTGTTCTCAAGGTAATTATACTAGCTATTGAGACAATGAGAAAAATTTTCTGGATATGTAAAGATCAAATACAGATCGGCTCTAAAGTTACCAATTGTGTCTGATAGTTTTTGTCAAAATGCTTCTCAACGCAAAGAAGAATAGAGAAGAACGTTATGGACTGTATACAATATAGCACATACTGTACTTACACTGAATGTTTATAATACCACTGTCCTCTTAGGAGAAAAATGAACAATATTATTCTGATCAAGGCAGACTTGGGTAATGTATAAGTCTAGCTGTACTTTGACCTGGCCATCGATTTCTCCTCAATGCCCTCAACACATACTACTGCCAGCGGTTAGATAAAAATCTCTCCATGCAATAACCTCGACCGTTTAATAAAGCTGTCGGAATGTGTGTTTGTGCACGGACTGTGTACCCCATAGGTCTTATCGCGCTGTGCCTTCAAGTCCTATTATGTGACACGAAGCTAAGCTAGTTGTGGCCCGGCGGCCGGTCAGTGACAATGCCATAAGGCTTAAGCGCCTGGGACCTTAGACCTGCCAAATAACGCGATCGTTTGCTTTCTTTGTGTTCCTAGAAGAAACTTACCGTTAATGGTTCTGCTTTGTCTGATCACCTCAGCAATTGGCAGGCAACTGAGCTCAAGTGGAAGGGAATCGACTTAATAAGTTGACGGTTAATTATTCATGTTTTCTATTACATATGTGTGATGTTTAATTTATAGTCTAGTAAAATATTATAACTTTGATATCATCATCACCAAGTGTCAAGTCTGCTACAGACATCGGCGATCATGGTTCTCTATTTATTCCTTTGCTCGGATGGTTTTTTAAAAGTTACATTTCCCTGATCTTTTCACGTTACGGTTTAAGGTTTTCCAAGTAGGTTGCTCTGGTCCTACCCCTGCATCGATTGCCTTCAATTATGCAAGTGAGAGCTTGATGTTCAGAACCTGTATGTCTATTCAGGTGTCCCAATGAGAACTTTGATACAAAACAAAAACAAATGTATGTAACGAGACCGTGTCCTCGTCCTTTCCGGAACCATTTCTGGAAAGACAAGAACTAGGAATTGTATATAAAATGTTAATACCAAAACCCTTATTCTTAAGAAAGACACAAAAGAAAGAATGCATGGACACAATGTAAGGTCACGTAAATGCACTCCACTTTTCTCCCAGACAAGATGACCCACGTCTATGGTGTAGCAATTAGGCACTTCGGTGTTACACGCTTGAGCCCCGAGTTCGATTCCCGAGTGGGGAGAAATTTATTTCGCGTACCTCGGTATTTCTACCGGTATATTGCATCTCTCTCAGCCCTGGTTGGCCGTGACGGGCAGGGCCGAAAGCCCGCTTCCTCACTGATCTAAAGTGTATGGATCGTAGCGTAAAAACAACTCATTAAAAAAAATCAAAATTAACTTGGGAGCAGCCTTAATGTCTGTTCAATACCGAGCTCCTGTGAACACCTATCCAAAAAAACAACAACCTTGCATCGCCTTTGTGCGTAAACTTAGGCTGCTCAACATTTACCACCTTGGTCCAGATCTGTAAAATCATTCTTTGTCAGTAACTAAAGGGGCCAGTATAACTTTCGGGTCACATTTTGCTGGAAATAGAGTTCTTCGTATGACGACACACGTCACGGGTGACTACACATCATAGTATTTGAATGGCATGCCTGGATGGCTTTAAATCAGAGTTATGGCCTTTACAAACAACACAAACTCGATAGTATATCATGCGTTAAGTCCAACAGCTGTTTTTATGTTTGTTTGTTTTTTTTGTTGAATTTGCTGTTTTTTGTGTATTTTTCTAGAAAGAATCTCTAAGTGACTTAGATCCTTGTTTTCTTATCCCCTCCCCCCCCCCCCCCCCCCCCTTTTTCCATTATTCTGTACTCCTTCATTTATAAGATAGCCATACTTTTGGAGTACAACCATACTTTGTCTATTACGATATTACTAGCAACGGTGATAATATTACGCTTTCGTTTTCATATAAAAGATGTAAATTAGGAATTAATTTTTCAATTTAAATGTTTTGCAATAGTCTGGAAGGAAAAGCAGAAGGCAACAGAGGAAGAGAGAGGCCTGGCAGCAGATGAGGACAGAACTTATAGAAGCCTTGCTTTAACCGCCCTAAAACTCATGCCGGCTGAATGACAAAGGACAGAGTGTTTTATTGCAGGAAGGTCTGAAATACAACGTCCAAGTGCTGGAAAGACAATGAAGAAGAAGAAAAGGAAGAAGAAGAAGAAGACCAAGAAGAAGAAGAAGAAGAAGAAGAAGAAAAAGAAGAAGAAGAACAAGAAGAACAAGAACAAGAACAAAAACAAGAACAAGAAAAACAAGAACAAGAAGAATAACAAGAACAAGAAGAAAAACAAGAACAAAATAAAGAAGAACGAGAAGAACGAGAAGAACACGAAGAAAAAGAAGAACAAGAAGAAAAAGAAGATGGAGGTACGTTCTGACTCACAGACAATGGTTGAAGTTAAAATATTTAAAAGTTTGTAATTGTATTTGCTTTCCAGTCGAAACATAAATAGCATTTCTTTTGCAACGTAATGCTTATAGTGATGTATCAGCTTAACCCCTGAAGGAAATACAGCAGGGCTCGTCAGTCTTAACAATATCTGCTAAAAGTTGGAGAGTGGTTGAGATCAACCTGGTTAGTATAGGGTATTATTAAAGAATTGCCGCCCTTGGAAATACATGTACATAAGTGGTACGAAAATATCAGCCTCTTACAAGCGGCTGTGAACGGCCGACAAGCACTGATAATAATAGTTATAAAGCATTGAGACAAAGCGTTACTGCTCTATAAGTCCCATGTTCCTGGCTCTGCCAGTTGATGTAAAGGTGCTTGATTGTTTGAAAATAATGGAGAGTACTTTATCCCCAAATGATCATTATCATTATAAAGTACTAGATCAGAAACAGACATCGACGATCGTGGTTCTCATGTCATTTCTCTGCTCTGTATGCTCCAAAATCCACTATTATCCCGGCGTTTCTCTGTCATCCGTATATTTAGGTGTTCCAAATAGGTTGCTCTGGGCCTACCCCTGCCTCGTTTGCCTTAGATTTTTTTTTCCATTGAGAACACAATTCCAATGATTCAGCAAAAAACAATGATTAAATTTAATTTGTAGAATTTATTTAATTGTCAATTAGTATGCTGCATGAGTGGACTGTGCAAGGCTTTAACGCGATGATTGGGTGATTATTATTTCAGGGTTTTTTTGGGCGCCTCTGTATTATGTTATATAGAGCTGATCATTTTCTGGTTTTACTTTTAGAGAATAAAACAAAAAGAAAAGAGGATGGATAGATTAGGATGATAGATATTTGATAGAAAAGAAAGAGCAAACCACACCAGTGCACCCGCCAACTACCCGTGTGTTACTCTTTGAGGACAGGCGTGCTTGTCTTTTAACAGTGCTTGACGACGCTCTGTTTTGGCGCACTTTAAAAAATCATAACTTCATTATTCCTTCAAATGTTTCAAATAGATTTTCCGTACCTGAAACTTTAAACAAAATCGAAGAACAACCCGCATTGATTGAAATAATATTATTACGCAGATTGGGGTTTCTGATTTGTGTTATATAGTTTTTTTTAAAATAACATGACTTTGGTCTGCTGAAGGACATTATATGTGTTTGCCACGCCTTTATGAAAATAACTTTTGTGCAATAGAAGATTTCCAGTCTTGACACGGTCACAGTTGAATAATATGCTTCCCATGCACCTCATCTGAACACCATTCGTGTTATAGTGCATCCCTCAGGCTTAGAGGAATGGCTGCGCTTATAATATAGTTCTAAAAGCGTGATAACAAAAGCGTTATTGTAGCAAGTCTGTGGAGGCGCCGGACAGTACTGCCAGGCACTAGCAGGGTTCTGGGACGGTAGTCCACCAAACACTCTTACCGCCAGAGATCAAACACAGACCGGCCTGGCTTATTTGGTGACCAGCCGTGCCAGACGTGTAACATGAACGCGGGCTGAGGAGAGGAGGAAGTGGAGGAGGAGGAGGAGAAGAATAGGGTAGTGGTAAGGGAGGTGTGTAACGTGAATGCAAACTGAGGAGAGTAGGAGAAGAATGAGGAGGAGGAGAAGTAGGAGGAGAAGTAGGAGGAGGAGGAGGAGGAG